GTTGTTGTTGTTGTTGCCCCCTTGTTCCGGTTGCGGTTGCCTTGTTGCTGTTGTCGGTCGTTGTTCTGGCGGTGGTTGTTGTTGCTGCCTTTGTTGTTGTTGTGGGCTTGTTGCTGTTTTGTTGTTGTTCGGGGTCTCTCTTCGGTGTGCATCGGCTGGTTTGACATCATTACTGTACACTGCCACCATACGAGTGGCCGGGTAGACACCTGCTCCACGTTTCGCTAGCCGTCCTACTTTGAGCGGTGCGTGTGCAAAGCAAAAGGCCTGCGCCTCCACCAGCTGCTGGTGCCTCCTCCGCAGCAGGGGGTTCAGATTGTAAGACGGGTACATCTTGCTGAACTGNNCTTCTTTACAACTCAAGGGTATTTCGGGCAAGGAGTTCCAAGTAACGGTCTTGCCGCTTGTGTTCGGGAGTCCAAGACAAGTTGTGCCAGAGGCGTGTGGCCTTCTTGTAAGGAAATCCGTACTTGCAGTAAGTCACGTCACTCCAAGGCAAATTGCACATGAAAGGCCGGCGCTTCAGCAAGCCCGTCTGGGGATTCTCGATACACCAATACTTCGGGCGCAGCTCTTGAATCAGCTCCAGAGCTCTCATGGCGGTGTGGTCGCCCTCCTCCAACCTGCGGGGTCGTCGCGTCAAGGCTTTGCTGTACTCGGTGCAGAGTGGCGAGGCCTAGATCATGTCGAAGTGCCCAGGGGCAAACTTGGGCAGTGGCTCCCAGCTGCAGACGTCCGCGCATACCGTCGGGTTTGCTTCGGGGTCGATGTCAAGCGAGATGACTTGCCATCCCAGCTCCTCGAAGGCTCGGCCCATAGACCCCGTTTCCGAGAAGAGCTCCAACAGGCGCCGCGGCATCAAAATCGTCTCTTTCCATGACTGGGTTGGAGAAGACCCACAGCAGTGCAAAAAACCATCTCCAGCAGCAGGCGCAGCCGAGGTTCCACACCAACGCCTCCCTCCAGTTCAGGTCCATCTCGGGCATCCGACTTTTTTGTTTCCCCTATAAGAAAAGAGCTCGACCGCCGACATGCTGGGAAGCAGCCATTGCACAAAATGACCTCCGACTTGGCGAGATGCTCACAAACAAGAAGGGCGGCAGATTCATGCCTGTGGAGCCTCTCTGCTGCTTCAACACCAGCGAATGGGCCGAAATCCTTTACGAGCCTCATACGGCGAGCAAACCTCCGAACGAGTGACGCTGAGCCTGGAACTCGCGTCCGAGATGCAAAAGCTCGTGGAAGACCTTGAGAAGCAGGCTTCATCCCAAATCCTCGCCAAGAGATTGGATTCAAAGCTGCAGTCCTGCATCAAGCAGACGCGCACAAAGGGACAGACCCTGAAGCTAAAAGTCAATTTGGGAACGGTGCGCTTTTGGGACGCATCCGGCAACAGATTGACAGATGCACCGGCACAACTCAGAGGCAGACAGGCGCTAGTTGCAATCGAGGTGCGCCAGCTGTGGATCATGGGGCAGCAGTGCGGGCTTCTCATAGAGGTCCGCGACATCAAGCTACAGGATGCCTCGCCCCAAGTGTGTCCCCTGTAAGCCGCGCCGACGGCCCAAAAGTGTAGAAGGAAGCCTGCTGGACAGCCTCATAGGAGGTCTTCCGACAATTTTGACTCATTTTGCGAGCTCCCGGCACTCTCAGTCCCCGCAAAATTAGTTTGATGCATGCGGTCTTGCCCGGGCATTTTTTTTTTGATCCGTTGACACTCCGCTCTTTGGTGCCTGCGCGGCACCCTGCTCTGTGGCGCCTGCTCGGCACCCTGTTCTGCGGATGTGGGGTTCTAGGCTTAGCCCCTCGCCATTAGTCGTCACTATGGGCCAGGAGGGGACCGAGACTCGCGAGTGCTGCTCCCGCTCGGCCCCTTCTGACCCGTCGCTGCGGATGTGGGATTCTCGGCTTTGCCCCTCGCCATTCGGATGCTTTCTTGAAACCTTCTGTGTGACTTGAGCATTTTGCCTAATCCTACTGTGCTTCTTGAGATGGCAGAAGTGGCTGCAGCAGCAGTGCCAGCACCGGATGATGATGAAAGTGATCCTGAGGAACTCGGTCCCGTGGAAGAACCCCACTTGCCGCTCCCAGGAAATCCGTTTGCAGCTGCCAGTCCTCCAGCCGCGTCCCCAACACATGTTACTTTNNTTGTCAGCAGAGATGTTTGAGCGCATGTTGCAAGCAGTCGCCGCTAAGAACAGTCCCAGTGAAGGTTCTGGAGGTTTGGACAGCAGAGACCTCCTTCGCTTGCTTCCGAAACCCGAAGTGTTCAGAGTAGGCCCAAAGGGCGACGAGCGCCAGGCGTGGTTGACGTGGTGGTGGCAAACACGTCAGTACCTTGTGGCTTTGGACTACAGGTTTGACACAGATTTGAAAGTGATTGAAGCCAACTTGAATCGTGAGGTTGTCTTGACCGATGCAGATCCGCCGGGAACGACAACCAGCGCGGGTACGAGGCTTTGCGCCTCCTCCTTATGCAGTACCAGCCTCCTTCAAAGGTGCGATCCCTAGGCATTCTCTCTGCCTTGACTACAATAAAGTCCTTTGA